AACAACAGAAGGCTTGGGGGGGGTGTGTGGGGATTTAAGAGGTTAGGAATGGACTTTGGGGGGACGAAATTTTTCTTTTTCGCATGAGGTCTCCCTTAAAATTCATGCCAGATTCATCCAGGATAAGGGTCTGGTATAGATTTTAAAGGGGAGGTCTACACCTTGTTTTTTTAGTGGGATTTCTCCTTACAATCCATGCCAGACCCTCATCTAAAATAAGTCTGGTAAATACTTTGAAGAGAATCCCCTGCTACGTTGTTTACAAGCAGAACAAAGCAGCCGGGAAATGTAATTTAGAGGCAATTTAAATATTAAGTATTTTTTTCTTTATAAATGTCACGTTTGCTTTAGTACATTCTACCGGTGTGTCACTTCACATGCAGGTTTAAGGCATTCCCTGAGCATGTAATTTAAAGGAATTGTGTATTTTTAAAGTTGACCTTTAAGGTCTCATTCACACAGCTGAGTGTCAGCCTGCACAGATCCATGTGGCGTGCACGGCCATACCGGGTCATTCCCGGGAAGGACAGGTGCTGCGTGTGATTGTACGCAGCAGCCTGTTCTTCTCTATGGGAGTACGTGGCCGTATGCCGCCATATGCTCACCCGAGCTGCACATCTGTGCGGGTGTCTGTGCTCGGACGCAGACAGGATCCATCCTGTCTGCATACGAGTACGGACACCCACACCAGCATGGATGTGCAGCTCGGGTGAGCGTACCCCCATAGAGAAGAACAGGCTGCTGCGTACAAGCACACACAGCACCTGTCCTTCCCGGGAACAGCCCGATACAGCCGTGCACGCCGCACGGATCTGTACGGGCTGACACTTAGCTGTGTGAATGAGGCCTAAGCCTTTTAAAAAAGCTGCTCCCTGCCACACAGTATTTATTCAAAAGTTGTTGTTTTTTTAACAAGATTTGGCTACTATAGTTTTCGGAGCTCGTCACTATTGTCAGGGGTTACAATTTTTTTCAATAGTTTGAACTGAACTTTACCCACCATTAGTACCGTAGGAGGTGGTGTTGACTGTGCTAGGGTACCCGAAGGAAAGTGAGCCAAAGTCAGCAGATTGGGCTAATAAGCACTGGAGGAACATAGAGGGGAGAGGTCCCATGGCGGCTCTAAGCAGCAGGGAGATTATAGTTTACTGTCCCCACACTTCTCGTTTAAGATTAGCAAATATTTGTTCCATGTTTGTTCTCATAAACATTCTCAACTAAATTAAATATTCTGGAATTATAGGTTGTTCCATTGTATTTGTGTTCTTCTGCATTTCAGCAAACTGACAATGGAAGATAATATTTTTCACTAGGATAATGTGAACTAATGAGTTCTAATATTAACTCATTAGTTAAGTATCTGTTATTCAGAACTCAATGACAGATTATTAAACGTGAAAATGAGAACAAATAAGAGACAATAGTCCCAATTACTACATAAAATATGAACATTGCTTTGTCATTTTTCATACTTTAGTTTACATGGAAGAAGAGAATGTTACAGTGAACTATACAATGTAAGACAAATATGTTAGGAACATAAACAGTGTAAAGCTTGCTGTTTTTATATGATGCACCGATATAGGTTTTTCGATATCGAGTACAGGTGCTGATATTTATATTTCGGTACTTGCCGATACCAAGTACCAATAACTGTCCTTCATTTAGCATGGAGCCGGCTTCCTGGGCGATCAGGTGGCCTGTCATTACCCACCGCCCAGCTTCTAGATTGCCCGGGAAGCCAGCTCGATGCTGATTGGCCAGGAAGCCGGCTTCAGCATCGAGCCAGCTTCCCAGTCATTACACAGAGCCCAAACGCTTACACAAAACTGTACTGAGACAAAAAAAAGAAGTTTCAACTTCGAAATGCGTTGCCTAATTACTTCTACATACAGCGGTCCTGTACCACAGATGTTCCCCACTCCTTCGTTCCAGTCATTTCCCCTTGGCTGCCTGTCCCTTGTGTCATCCTCCCATCCCTTGCCCCTCCAGGGGCATACACCGCTGCACCATCAATGTAGTGCTGCCTCCTCCTCTTTTCCACACCAGCGACAGACACACTCACTGCTATTTTTATTAAGTTTAAAATGTTTATATAACATAAAACAAAGATAATAATAAATCTAAATGTTCTGTGAATGGTCTATGCCAGGGGTCGGCAACCCCCGGCACGCGTGCCCGGCTTGGCACGCGAGGCCACATCGGCTGGCACGCAAACTAATTTTTTTGCATTTGAGAGCTTGCTCGAGCCGGCTGTCAGATTGAAGTCCCACCCACCTCCCTGACGTGACCAGTTGAGGAGCCGCACTGAGGAGGCCCTCGACGGTCTGCTCGAGGTCCTGCCTGGTGGATTCTTTACCTGCAGCACCGAAGGAGGAGAATCGCTCACCCGCCTGCCGGACTGAAAGGATCTTCTGTTCCCCGCCTGATTTTGTCACCATACTGCCCATCATTAGTCAGAGCACAGTGCACAGAGCAGTGGCGGATCCAGGGGGGGCACCCCCGCAGTGTGTGCTGACAGCTGTCCCTCCTCCAGCTCCGTGTTACAGACTTTACTGCGGTTCATTGTAAAAACTTTTGTACAATGAACTGCACTAAAGTCTGTGACACAGAGCTGGAGGAGGGACAGCAGTATGTTCCGGCGTGTGTGCTGTGAATACAACAGGCGGCTGCCTGTCATTGACAGTGATCACATCACTGTTAGCCTGGTGGGGGTGGAGCCTATACCCGTCATGGGGGTGGAGCCTATACCCAGCATGGGGGCGGAGCCTATACCCGTCTCTGCAGGCACCCACAGCCACATCCTGGTATGTGGGTCAGCATGAGTGAGGACCCTCTCCTGTGACCCCTCCCCTCCATTGGCCGCCAAGGAGAGGTGCTGCAGCCTGGATGTAGGTAAGGTTGGGGAGTCTGTGGGTGATGGCTGGCTTGGGGGGATTGGGGGACTGTAGCTGGGTGGTATAATGATTATACAGCAATGCTGAATACCACCAGCCGAGGGCCTGCGGGCGTCACCCCCCACACTAAATGAAGCCCCCCGCCGCAGGTGCAATGGTTCCCCCCCTCCGCCGCCTCTCTGCCACATGCACCGCTACAGATGCGGCTCTCTAATCGTGCGGCCGCTCACTCCTCAAGGGGTACTCGGGAGGCCCCAGCGTGCAGCCCTCTAACATACCTGATTAGAAGGCCGCATCTGCCTGCTCCAGCCAGCCCGGATCACCTCGGTATACCCTTGAGAAGCGAGCGGCTGCGCGATTAGAGAGCCGCATCTGTAGCGGTGCAGGTGGCAGAGAGGCGGTGGAGGGAGCCACTGCACCTGCGGCCGGGGGCTTCATTTAGCGCAGGGGGTTCAGTGACGGGATCTACTGCGGGCAAACTGGCTGATGCGGCCACAGGAGAGCCCTCACTACCAACCAGAGGATGTGCTGCTAACGGCAAGATAAACACATTCAAATAATTAGTGAGTTTAACTTATTATTAGCAGTACAACTATGAGTACAAAAACTGAAATTTGCTAATACCATGGTGCACTATTGTTCAATGGCACTCGGTTGTCTGATGGTTGCAAAAATGGCACTCGGTGTGTAAAAGGTTGCTGACCCCTGGTCTATCTATCAAAAGCACATAGACAATGCAAACCTCAGATGAGTATGAGAATCTGGACTTTCAAATATGCAATTAGAAGCACACTGGTAAGAACTTTTACTGCATCCAATAAAATAACACTATAGGGGTTATTCACAAAGCTGCTGAAGGCAGCCGAGTGAATAACTCAGCCGTAGTGAAGTGAGCCGAACTAAGTTCGGCTATTCACTTCTGGCTTGTATGGCTGATTTCAGCCGTACATCGGCTCAAATCAGCCTTACATCGTCTGCCTTCCGCTGCACTTCATGCTCTGCATGTTCAGCTGAGCTGAAGTGCAGACAGACTTCAACTCAGCCGATCCAACATCTGGATTGGCTGAGCTGAAGGTCCGGCAGCTCACTCGCTGCCGTTCGCCCCTATTCTTATAGCAGCATTCGGCTCGGCTATTCTGCTCAGTATCTCTGTGGTACCAACCAGAGAAGAAAATCAATGAAAACAGTTTTTAAAAAAAAGGTTGAAAAAAAAAAAAGATTTTAAAAATGGAAATAAATAGTTAAATTAAAAAATAAATAAAGATTTTTTTAAAAATAAAAAAATAGTAATAAAAACCCAATTGGGTGGAGGTAGCAATGACTTTGCCCAATTGTTATTGTTTAATGACAGTTCAGCGTTCCCAGGTTATTTGGGGACGCTGATCTGTCATTACAACTGGGCTGAGCCAGCTGTTAAATCACGGCTGGCTCTGCCCAGCTTTCATTTGCGGGGCGAAAGGCCAGCCTTTGGCAGGTCGTTCGCCCCGCTTCGGCTGAGACTTCGGCTCAGTGGAGCCAAAGCAAATGCCTTTGACTCGGCTGCTGTACGGGCTATTGTGAATAGCCCGTACAGCATCCCTTCGGTTTGACTAGGCTCCGACAGCCAAAGAGAGCCGAAGGATCAGCCGAAGCTACGGCTGGATCTTTCGGCTCCTTTGTGACTAGCCCCCTATGGAACACTATAGAAATAATTCTGCACCAATCAAAAATTTGTGATTAAACATTAAAGCTACATTCCAATTAAAAATATATATTTTAAGCTGAACTCCAAAAAGATATATAAGACACAACTAAATGCAGCTCTTTATTCACTGACACTTCATTAAATGTATTTTTTCTTTTTTTTTACAATACAAGCAGTGTATGTACTTAAATGAGAACTGGTATCAGCCTCTTGCAATCTCTGTATAGCAGATCTCCAAATGTATGGGATGCAACACAATGAGCTAATCAGTTGTACTGCAATGTTAAGGTGCTAACAAGGGACATGCTGATAGGAAGAGAGTGCAGAGTGATGGCGAGATAAGGTAATCAGTTTGTTGCTTCTCCTTTGAATGTCCAGTCACAGGCAAACGAAGGGGCAAGGCCTGTAAGTGTTACTTAACTGCAGCAGGAGAAATATCAGGTCTACTGACCTGCTAGATAGGATTGTGCTATGTGGCTATGCTGTGTAAATGTCAGGACTGGGCAGACAGAGATTCGCTGAAATGAAGGCAGCTTCCTTCTATGTATTTCATCTGTGTAGTTAGTGGTTTGCTAAAGTTCAGATGTAACTAAGTGTTTATCTTTTCAGCTAACTGTGCACATCAAACAAGTATGTAAGAAGCTATCAAAAGACACTAGAATTACTGAATGCTGTAAAAAAGCACCAATCGATACTTTCCATTGCTTGCATTCTATGAGTGCTGCTGAGCCTATCACGCTTCCAAAGCTTCAATTGCCATCTGGTGACCAGCTATGTAAAAAAGGCAAGAATCAAGAGCTTGAAAAGTAAGCATTTTCAGTACTATATTTATATGGTCATACTGTTTGTTGCATTATTTAAAGACCAAAGTTAAACTCTAGAAGTCGGATACCTATTTTAATTTTTTTTTTTTATGTCTCGTACAAATCAAAGTTTTGTTTTAAACGTGTACTCATTAGTCCTGTAGTATAAGAAGCTAAATAATGAACGTGCAAAATATGTGGCATTTAAAAGCCAAGCTATTGGAAAGCTATGCACTTAGAAAGTAACTTTAATTACAGAGTATTTTAAGAACAAGAAACTGTTTTAAAGTTGCAGCTACACTCTTACCTGGTTCAGATCTGTTCAGTACCGATATTTATATTTCGGTACTCGCTGCTACCGAGTACCAATACCGGTACTTCAGCTAGCATGGAGCCAGCTTCCAGGCCAATCAGGAAGGTAGCTGGTCATTACACAGACAGTGTAAAGCATGCTGTTTTTACTGAGTTTATATAACATAAAACACAGATAATAATCAATCCAAATGTTCTGTTAAAGGGTATATGCACAAAAGCAACAATGCAAACCTTAGATGTGTATGAGAATCTAGACATTTAAATATACAATTGGAAGCATGCTGGAAAGAACTTGTACTACATCCAATAAAATAATACTTTGGAATGATATAGTAAATAATTGTGCACCAATCAAAAAACAGTGATATATGCATTAAAGGCAAATTCCAACATATTCTAAGCTGAACTCCAGAAAGATATAAAAGACAAATAAATACAGCTCTTTATTCATCTATACACCTTTTAAAAGTATTTTTAAAAATACAAGCAGTGTATGTACTTGAATGAGACCTGGTATCATCCTCTTGCAATACAAAAGGGTAATTATTTGTGCTGCAGTGATTAGGTGCTAACATGCTGATAGGAGAAGATTACAGAATGACAGAAAGATAAGCTCATCAGTCTGCTGCTTCTTCTTTTAATGTCCAGTCACAGGTGGAGGAAGGGGCAAGGTCGTTAAGTGTTACTTAACTGCAGCAGGAGAAACATCAGACCTCCTGCCCTGCTAGGCAGGATTCTGCTGTGTGGCTATGCTGTTTAAATGTTAGGACTGGGCAGACAGAAATACCAAGTCGTTGAAATAAAAGCAGTTTCCTTATATGTATTTCATTTGTGTAATTAAGCTGTATGCCTAAAGTTCAGCTTTAGCTGTTTAATCTGTCTGTGTACATCAAACAAGAAGCTATCAAAAGAGACTAGAGTTACTGAATGCTGCAGTATGCAATACAAACTCCAGACCTGTGAACTCTGCCTTAATTAATGCTGAACGCTGTAACGCAGTAACAAAGAGTCTAGAGGTCAGGAGTATGTATTGCAGAGTTCCGGAGAAATGTAGAATTCAGAGGTAAGGAGTAAGTAAGCCAGAGTTCAGAGGTCAGGAGAAATGTAGATTCAGAGGTAAGGAGTATGTAAGGCAGAGTTCAGAGGTCAGGAGAAATGTAGATTCAGAGGTAGGGAGTATGTAAGGCAGAGTTCAAAGGTCAGGAGCATGTAACACAGTTCTGCACTCCGCGTTATTTACTCCTGACCGGTGTACTCTGTGTTACTCCTGACCCTTGTACTATGTACATTACATACTTCTGATCCCTGTACTCTCTTCTGATCCCTGTACTCTCTTATGTACCTAGGCTACATTTTACCACTGCAAATTTGCCACATACGTTCCCTCATTCCTTTCATCTAGGTGACTGGGCGGGTGGGGGGGGAGAGAGCCCTGCCAGGTAGGCTGTATGGGGCCCCATGATTTCTAATGGGGGCCCTAAACCTGACTAGGAGTCTGATTCTGTTCAACATATAGTTAAATGCATTTACTGTTTAGTTTTGAAATTACTGTGGAGAACATTTACATGGGTCACTTTTCTATAAATGGAGATCTATGCAATGTGTTGCACACTAGGAACAAAGTAGTTGAGATGCCAATGAATGAATTAGTCAACAAACTTTTTTTTAAATTATGATGATTTTAGGGCCCGGCCTGTCTTGCTGTGGGATCCCCAACTCCACTTGCAAGGCAAAAAAATAATTCTGGTCCTACTCATGCATTGTTTTCTTGAAGGCAATAGAAAACATGCGGTTGTGTAAATTTTAACATAGTTTTTGCAATTATTTAGTTTTTTTAGGTCCCTCCCTGCTGTATTACATTAACAATATATACATTAACATTGCATTAAACATTTGGCCTTATTTACGAAAGGAGTAAAAACTGTTCACTTAGCAAAGTGATTACTTTTAGAAGTGTGTATATATATATATTTGGTAGGATTGCCCCCAAATAACTTTTTTGGTCAGCAGTGTTTGCGACATATGAAAATATGACAGATACAGTGGTAAGACATACACCACAATTAGCCCTTCTTCCAATTTTCCCAGAAAGGATAGCATCAGCAAAGAAGAATCTTCTTTATTTTTTTTAGTGCAGCCAGACCATGACACCGGAAATCTATAGTACCACCTTCTTTCCTTGAGTGGACAGAGGAAAAGTATTATAAAAAAAAAGTATCATATACAACATATGGAGGAATTGATGGCAAAACTATAGGACCGACTTTTTCAAATCAGAGGAGCCCACCATTTGGGCATAGTGGGGCAACAGAAGCCATTGCGGGTGTGTATACATACATCTAGGTCACTTTATAAAACATTATTGAGAGTTTCGACTTCAAAGGTTGCACTGTTGTTTGCTAATTGCCTGTAAAAAGACCTTTGATCAAATAGAAAGTGTACGCAAAGTCCAAAGCTTGCCGCATGACAGGAATACTCTGGCATTACTTGCAATCAATTTTGTGAAAGTGGGATATGAGACTGCTCTAAAGTATTATTTTAATCCATCTGCGCTAACAGAGTTCTCCATGAAATATAAAAACATTAAATAATGCTTTATCTTTTATTTTTATGCTTGTTTTCAATAAGACCAGATAAAAGGAAAGTTTTTTCACCTCTGAAGTCTTTTTTTCATCTGCAGGTACATGTATGAGATAGCAAGGAGAAACACTAAGCTGCCAGAAGTGTTTGTTGAAAAGCTTTATGAATCTGTTACAGAGATTGTGAAGAAGTGCTGCAGTTCAGAAAATGCGAATTCTTGTCTAGATAAAAAGGTATTGTGACTCCTTTTCCACTTGAACACAAGCAAACTGTCCTTTTTACAGTCCTTTATATTTAGAATATAGCTAAATTCAAACTATCGCTGTATAACCCATAATTAAACCAAACTCATCTTTGCTCTTTTGCATCACATCACCGACAGCTAAAAGCAGTTACCGGGATAATTTCCAACCATGTCAGAACAAGGAACAGTCAGTCAAAGGACAAAAGGTCTGCTCAGATAGGGGACCCACAGTCAGGCCTTACTAATAGCACCAGTGAAATAAAGAAATAAGAGTAGGAAAACACTTATCTTTTTGAATCATGTGATCAGTATAAACTCAAATTGTAATGCAGGTTCATATTTTAAAGCAGCTCTGCCGGAAGAAATTGAAAAGAAGAACTCCATGCAAAGAAAATAATTAATACTTATCTGTCCTGCTACCCGTGCCTCTGAATCTCGTTGTGTTTAAAAGAATCGAGCACATTTCCAGGTATGTTAGATGCCTGGTCCCCTGCTTCACTCATCGATTCCTTGCACCAGGTGTTGCAGCAATACTTGTCTTGGAGTGATGTAGAGGCCAGAAGATGAAACCATAGAGTAGGGTACAAGGCAGGGGCATAAGCAAAATTTTGTATGGGGCCCCGTGATTGCTAGTTATGCCACTTGCAGAGCCCACCTGCTATACCAAACAGCCCACCTGAGAGTGACCCTGCAGAGCCAACCATAGACTCTCTATAGTGGGCTCTGCAGGGTCTCAGGTGGGCTGCACACCTCTTACCTGTCAACGCTGTCCGCCTCCGTGGTCGCCTTCATGGTTGCCGGGCCCTGCCTCTTCTTCCGTCCCCGGGCCCCGCCTCCTCTTCTATCGACGTGCCCCGTCTGCTCTTAGGTCGCTGGCCAGTGATGTAAGAGGAGGCAGGGTTGCTCTTAGGCGGGCCCCGCCTCCCCCTGCGAATGCCTGCCTCTTCTGCCGCAGCTGCTGGCTGTCACAGCTCTGCAGCGGCTGTGAGGGGAAACGCGCCGCGGCCGCTGCACACGTCACTGACAGGTTGTCAGTGATCTTCATAGCCGCTGCTGAGCTGTGTCAGTGAGAGCCAGCACCCTTATATGCCATAGCGACCCAGGAGGCCCACACGGCATCAGAGGGATGGCCTGGCCGGGCCCCGCTGTGCCCGGGCCCCATAGCGGCCTTCTGGGTCGCTATGGCGATTGTTACGCCACTGGTACCAGGCATTCGACACTCAAAAAATCAGGTGCAGAAGATATTTTTCAGCAAGCTTTGGTTAAACCCAGCAAAGTTCAGTGGCACAGGCGCACAACTGGTAGGTACTTTTTTTATTTGCAGGGAGCTCATCTTTTTAGTTATTAAACCAGGGACAGACTTTAACTTCAGGTCTCACCTCATATTCAAAATATAAAACATTTTCCTATAAACCTGGGGGGGGGGGGGGGCGGGGGGGGGGGGTGAGAGGGGAGCTTGCTGATGGTATACTTTGCAGGGGCTCACATCTTAAAGTGGCAGCCATACACTCAATGACCACTTTATTAGGTACACCTGTTCGACTGCTTGTTAAAGCAAATATCTAATCAGCCAATCACACAGCAGCAACTCAATGAATTTAGGGATGTAGACATGGTCAATACATTTTGCTGAAGTTAAAACCTTCGCAAGGGCTCACATCTTAAAGTGGCAGATATACACTCAATGACCACTTTATGAGGTACACCTGCTCAACTGCTTAAAGCAAATATCTAATCAGCCAATCACAAAGCAGCAACCCAATAAATTTAGGTGTGTAGACATAGTCAATACGTTTTGATGAAGATAAAACTGAGCATCAGAATGGGGAAGAAATGTGATTTAAGTGACTTTCACTGTGGCATGGTTGTTGGTGCCAGAGTTCGTTCAAGTTGGTGCAAGTCTGAGTATATCAGAAGCCGCTAATCTAGTGGGATATTCATGCACAACCATCTCCAGAGACCAGAAAATGGTCTGAAAAAGAGCCACATCACCGAGGTCACCCTCTCCCTCGGCAGATGCATACTTGCTGAGATCAAGCACCCGGGCCTCCTGCATTTGTTTATATTCAGTGCAAAACTATTCTCACTGCTGGCCCCGGCTGCACAGTAGAGCCCTATAGAAGTCTAAGGGACTTGTCTCAAAGATGGAGGTAGATGATGCCCATAGAAGACCTATGGAGCACACTGTAGAAGCTTTGAAAGCCCAGGGGCTGATAATTTCAGCTCCTGGGATTAGTGTTGCATCCCCACTGTCATGAAAGGCCAGTGGTTCCAGCACTAAGGCCAACAGAGGTGTCTAGGAGCAGCAGAGACCAGATGACATTTTAAAATAGTGCTCTGATTAATAGCATCTATTCCAGTACTGTTTTAAAAATATGACAAGCACCACAATGGCTCACAAAAGTGTGAAAGGTGCTGGTTTCAAACATAACAGCAGCTCCTGAAAACCTGCATGCTGTGTTGCTGGAGCAAATAAGGCAACATAAGTATGAGTATTTATCATTATAACATCCATTCAAAGGCAGCAGCATGTTCAATCTTATATGTGTGATTGCTGCCACCGTGCACATGTGCACTGTGTTTTATACCTGCAAAACATGCACTATGGTCTTTTGTACTTTGTTAACTTCAATTAAATCAGTATGCACCTCATGCAGTATTTTTCCTGTATAAAATATGATGTGGAGTGAGTTTATAGGGGAATCATGTTGTCAATTTTATCAATTCTATTTGCTTTTTAATCAATTAAAATATACTTTTTCAAGAAATTCTTGGTGTGCAAGTTGTCAGTCGGCTGCCTAAAAAACCCCAACTTTTCTGACTTTTCGATATACGACTCTCAGGGGTGTTGGCATCCTAAGCCTTGATCCAGGTCACTGTCTTTTCAAATCAAATCTGTATAAAATATGAATGCAAAGTAGCTAACAGATGTAAGCTAGCCCCTATAACAGTGATGGCGAACCTTAGCACTCCAGCTGTTTTGGAACTACAAGTCCCATGAGACATTGCAAGGCTCTGACAGCCACAGAAAACTCCCAGAGGCAGATGCATCTTGGGATTTGTAGTTTTGGCACAGCTGGAGTGCCAAGGTTCGCCACCACTGCCCTATAACATAACAGGAAATACATTTTTATACTAGGTATGTCATCTCTTAACTAGCTTATGGTTAGCCACATTTCTTTGTGAATTAGCCATACAGTATGTACACTCTCATAGCTTTGTACACCTTTGCCAGCATCATATGTTTATAGTAAATTATGTTAGAATGTGCTGTAACTGCACATGTAGACATCCCCTTTCAGTACTATTATGAAAAAAAGTATGACATTTTAGAGACATTTTTATAACAGACTCAACCAAATCTCAACAAAATGAACAACTGTGTTCTCTTTCAGAAATCACAGCTAGATGAAGAAATTAAAAACTATATCAGTGAGGGTAACGAGCTGTGTGGAGATTATCATAAATATCCATTCTCAGAATTTAAGCAGAGGTAAGAACGGCTTCTTGTCCTCATAAATGCTCTGAAGTTATGCAGTACGCTACAACTTTGCTCAAAATGCGAAAAAGTGAATATAAGTGGGTCTACCAAAACCTTCGATGATTTCTTTAAGCCTTGTAAGAAATTGTGGCTGACGGGTGTTCCTCCCATTAGGAGTCCTATAACTCCAATGTCTGCCATCCCTTCGCCACCTCCTTACCTCCTTGCTGTCCTATCCCACAAGTTACATGGTGTGGGATTCTGACTGAGGATGCTTACACCCTTTGCATCCAGCAGTTTCTATCAGTGTAGAAACCTTCCCAATAAGTTATACCATGGAAGCTGGAAATGTCTCTCTTGTTAAAAAGGAGGAATAGGTAATACCTGAGGAGACAATTTTTGCTGCAGAGCAGAAGGTGTGCAGCCGACCATTGTTTCATGACTGAAGTCTGCTGGATAACCCGGTGAAGGCCTGCACTAAAACATGGGGCACAGATATGGAACATGTTGGCTGCTTTAGCTAGTTGGGGCTAGTAAATTTGCCCTGCAACAAAATCCAATCCGCAGTGGGAGAAAGTGTCGCAGGCTGCTCATGTCTGAGACACATCTTTTAAAGTGTTGGAAACTGTGCAAAACACCGCTCCTAGCCAAAAAGTATCACACCGCCGACCCCTCACTGCTAAAAGGCAGGGGTCCAGGGACAACCATAGTAGGGGGCTGACCCTTAACTTTAAGGGGGACTGAGGCTCAACTCAAAACCGCCACAGTTCTTGAAGACCCATAACAGGGGATAGACTCCCTGCTTTACCCATTTTGGGAGGGGGCCTTTAGGGACAGGGCCCCACCAAGATGGAGGCAATGACTCTGGACTCTAGTGCACCCAGCAACTAACTGCACCTCGCTATATGAATGTGCCAAGTTTGAATGTCTAATGGGGCACCCATTGGGAAGCAGCAAGATCACAGCCTCATTGGCTTAGATGCAACTAGGTTGAGAGGAGATTTCTCTTCAGGTTGTAGAAGTAGATTTAGCCAGAAGCCAACTCTGAGTAGAGAGAGGTTATCCTTTACCTAAGGACACTAGCAAAATTGAGGAAAAGGATTGCTGGGAGTGGGAGGGGTTATATGGGTTGTTCCATAAATCTGTTTGCCAGTGTCCAATCACATGAATATGTCTATGATTAAAGGAGCCAGTCTATGGTAAAGGAGCCTATTTCATGCACTGCACAATTAAGAGATGTATTTGTTAATCCAGAGTAAGTACCTGGACTTGATTTGGTAGCAGCCCCTTGCAGTCTCTGTATAACAGAGGTCAGACTGGAGAAGGGAGAAGCAACAGAAAGAGACAGTTTTGCTGCAGCTCAAAGATCATGCTGATAGAAGGGAAGAGCAGCGTGAAAGAGAAATGGTATCCATTTATTGTTCAGTCACAGTCTGAAGTGGGAGATCTGTTAGGGTTACTGAACTGCAGAAGAAGAAAATTAGATCTTCTACCCTGTCAGACAGAGCAGGGCTGTGTGGGAACTGTGTAAATCTCAAAAGTGAATGGAGAGAAATTGAAATCCCTCGGCAAGTAAAACAGCTTCTTTATCGTTTGGCCTGGAGTTTAGCTTTAGCCACAGTCTCACTTTAATACCGCCATAACCAGCAGCATATACTTACCTTACTTTAACTTCCCCACTTCTCTGTTCAGCCACTGGGAGCAAAGTTGGACCTCTTTTTGGAACCTTCAGAGTGCTGGCTGTCACATGACCCCATGTGACAGCATTAGGCCAATCACCAAGTACCATCACTGTTGCGTGGAGTTACATGTACCTCCTTTTTTTGAAGTAATGGGCATATGCTGCCGGAGGACTGCGTTGTAATACAAACCTGATGCTTTGTCCTACATGAGAAAGTCACCGGTTTGCTTTTATATGTATATTTATTGTGGTTTACAGCAGTCAAAAGAATCAAGAAAAGTCATTGTTCAAGCTAAAAAATTAACTCAGATGGAGTTAAGGATGTTATTGAAGCTCTTCATGATAACATTGTATTATGCTTCACTGAGGCCATAAAATGCATTTAAATTTTTCCTGTAAATATCTGCTTCAAACACACCACAGAAGCAATTTTCTGACTCTTCGGCTGTATTTTAATCTCAGCGTAGGAAAGCCGGACCAATTCAATTTCTCTAAAAGTAAGCTTTCTAGTATGAGATTAGATTTGCATGTGTAAACAAAAGAACACAGTATGTGCTTTGAGAATAAGTGGTAAAATGTTCAATATCTCATTAACATGTGCTTAAACCCATACAGAAGAAGCTTACGAAGACATAAAAGGCATTTTTTGAGGAGCTGGAAATAGTGTATAAGAAGTTATTGAAGTATAATATTAACCCCTTCGTGACGGAAGACGTACAGTGTACGTCTTGTCACTTTGTGCCTATATGACTGGCCACGTACACTGTACGTGACGAGTTATATCAGGCTTTGTAATGCCGGTATTTGCTGATTCTCAGCATTTAACAGTCATTCATTAATGTCTCAGTATTGAGGCATTAATTAATGAAATAATTAAGCTTTTTGTAAAAGCTTCTTCCTTTCATTAATGAAAGAATGAAGCCGTTACATGCAAATAGAGGACCGCAATTTGCGATCCCGTATTTGACAGCTCAAAATAGCAGAGAGGCAGCAGTGACTCACCTCACCTCTCTGCTATTTGTTTTGACAGCTCGAGAGCCCGATGTTTAGATACATTTCACTGAAAGGATACAATGTAATATCTTTTTAGTGAAATGTATCATTTCTGATCGTCTAGGCACGATCAAAGAGCTTTTAGTGAGATCTGAATCTGACTAAAGTCAGGATCAGTCTCTAAGGTTATTATTAGCTGTTCCTAAGTTTGGATCAGCCTAATAGCCAAAAATAAAATAAAAAAGTTAATTTATCAAGCTGTCATAGTGATTGCTTGATATAAACTGACAAGAAAAAAAAAAGTTTTTTTATTTTATTTTTATTTTTTTTACAAAGTGTAAAAAAATTAAAATAAAGTGTAAAACAAAATTAGGAAAATATAAATTATATATAAATATATTTTTTATACTATAATTAATATAAAAAAATTCTAAAAAAAAAAAAAATAATCAAAACTTGTGAAAAAAGTGTTTTCTTCTAGTTTTTTTCCTCATTTTTTTTATTTTATTCAAACTAAGTGAGGGGTTAGGTACACATATGTGATATAATTATATAGCCCTATCTGTCCTCTAAAAAACAATATATAATATGTGTGGGTACATTTAGTAAGAAAGTATATTACTGACGTGGAAGAACCACACATTTTTAGATGATATGAAGGCATAACAATGGAAAAGAAGAACAATATAGACCAGTCCCCATGGTTTGCACAAAGAGCTACAGTAACACAGCAACCTCCCAACAGGCACACATTTAAAGGAACTATCTCTCATTTGAAACGAAATCCCTCTGTATTTTTCCTTCTCAGTTCTCCCTCTTTTTAGTCTGATGTACAAATATCCACGGAAATGTTCTACTTAACTACCTAAAGTGTTATTCTGCACTAAAACCTTTATAGTATCTCTTTAATTATCTTATTTGCTAGTTTGAACTGCAAGTATAAAGAAAAAGTAATGTTAAAAAAATAATTCTGGGTTTACCCAACCATTTTTGGCATATAAATTCTTAATAGTCTACATCAGTGGTCCCCAACCCCCGGGCCGCGGACCGGTACCAGTCCGTGGATCAATTCCTACCGGGCCGTAGGCGCAGCAGCGCGGCGACTAGCGGTCCTTCGCCTGCAGTTCCGATCCCCCGCTCTGCCCGGCGACAGCGTGCACAACGTCGTGACCTTCAGCCAATCACAGCGTGGGACGGCATATTGCAAAGAAACAAGCTCAGGGTTCTCATTGATTTAGCGTTCTAGTGAGTTAAAATGTTAAATCACTTTATATTCATTTGTTGGTGTAACTGTATTTTATTTTGAAGGCATGCTTAAATACAATTAAATAATATTATTACATCAAAACAATCTAAAATATAAACAATCAACATCCCCCCTCAGCGGGCTGCGGTAAAATTATCAAACGTTGACCGGTCCCCGGCGATAAAAAGGTTGGGGAGCACTGGTCTACATAACTGGAGGAGTGACGGGGTTTGGTCCATTTCCTATATAAAACTGGGGGTGTCCATTGCCTATAAATGCATTGTGTTGGAAGGTGTCCCTCTTTCTCATCACTGAAAGTTGGGATGTATGGTAATGGAGCAATATTAGATAATTTTTTTTCACAAAGTAAATATATTTTAAAAAGCAGCACATAAAGTATACATATAGGAATCAAAAAGTATACATATAACAACAGGGATGCTGCCTGACACACAACCAAATGGTTTTCTGTCTAATTGACAAAGAGCATATAACAGATGAACAGATGGGATAATTGTCCAAAGCTTGAGAGGAGAAGACTGGTGTAGATTATTTTGCACTCGGGGATGATCTGAATTTCATCACCTGTCAATGATTCTGTTGAGGAGGCTTCAGAGACCTGTGTCCAGCAAACTGGACTTAGCTTTGACAAAACAGGGAGACAATGTTCGAATTGCCAGAGCATTTGTTTGATGAGATGTTAAGAAAATGCTAAAGAAATATGCAGGAAAAAATGAAACAGCGTAAAGAGCAGTAAACGTCACTGAGAGAGTTTCTCCTTGTTGTTGTCTTACAGTGACATGGTCACAGTCAGCTATATAGCCTCCCCTTTTCTACAGCTGGTGTGTGGGTTTACTGGACATTTCACACTTACTTACTTGCAGAATGTCAAATCATAAGGGTGCAGGAAGTGGTCCTGCAGGTCTTTCCAGCTCACAATTCATAGCAGCTCCAGGACAGCTTGCAGTGTTCCTACACAAGGCCCTGGTGCCAGTACCCTGGGTCATTTCCCTCTACTTGAATCCACATGTTTCTTGGAGTCTTCACTTGCTCCAGTTGGCATGGCTCCTTTCTCTGCATTATTCAGGGAGGAACTTTCTGCAGTTATGACATATTTTATATCGAAAATCACTACCATGACTGATGACTCAGAGCGTAGGAGAAACAATCCTACTTTTGCGCCTTCTCCTCCAGAGTCTGTCTCTGATATACCTACAGTTGCAGCTGTTTGTGTACACTCAACTGAGGTTGATGATCAGTGTAATCTGTTGTTTTTGGATAGGGTTGTGCCTAAGGAGACTCAATCTTCTTACATTACTTCTAGGCTTAAAAATAAAATTTTGGGCCTTATTGATGCATTGGGTACATGGAGCAACTTGTGTCTTAATTCTTTTAGGTTACTAGTCTGGGCTCCCTTTCAAGACCAAAATGTCAAAAATTTCCCAGTATACTCACTACTGCACCTGGTTTTGTATGGTGACTAGTCTAATTTTGACAACCTTTTTTCTTTCTCCCAAGCATTTTGCTCTGGAATACCTGTTGAACAGGCTTTATTAAGCAGTAAACGTTTCTTATTGTTGACCCAACCATTTCTCACCTTAAAAAAACATGACATCTTCCCAGCGGGTGGGCGTACATTTTTTTTTTGTTTCTGCTTGCCTGTGCCATCACTGGTAACACTAAACTGATGAGCAGGAAAAGCTTTTAAAGCGTCGCCTATGGGCAATTTTAGACATGGTAGTTTTTTGCGATTTTGCAGGCGCACGCAATTTTAAAGCTTGACAAGTTTGATGTCTTTCTACCCGACGTGAACCCATCTTTTATATTTAAAAAAAATGTGGGTACTGATAAATATTTTATTACCTAACATAGGCAAAAAAGGGTTTATTTCAATATTTTCATTATATAGTAAAAAATAAAAACCCCAGTGGTGATTGAATACTACCAAAAGAAAGCTCTATCTGTCCCTAAAAAAAATTCTATAAAATTAATGTCAGTACAGCGTTGCATGACTGAATAAATGTCAGTCAAAGTACCACAGCGCTGAATACTAAAAAATGGCCTGGACAGGAAGGGGGTTCAACACTCTGGTCAGCAAGTGTTTAAGGATATGGATGACAAGTGTCTGAAGACCCTCTCCAAATCCTTGCTCTCCCTGGTAGTGCCTGCTCTTCAATCTGCCATTGCTGTCATGTCCATTTGTCAAACCCTGGGTGTTATGGCTATGGCACCTGAATTAATCTTCGTAGATTTTAATCAGTTGGAACTTATTCCTGTTTGCCTACACTACTGTTTCAATGAGCTTATGATTATTGCATATCTCTTATCCAGAATGAGTCTCCTGCCTGTGCATATAAGGGGAACTCTTAGGCTTACATGTCTGACTGCAGAACAGCAGTGCAAAAAACACTTACTGTTAGGGTTCCTCAGGAAACTTACTATGCAGGGACCCCAAACCCCCAGTAATGGGCCTCTAACCCACGGGAAAGTTACTCTGAGCGGACTTGAACTCCCCAGTAGTGGGCCTCGAACTCACGTATCCTGGTAGAACTTTCTCGTTTAAGGTTTCCCAGGATTCGATCATGCTGTCAGCTTCAGACAAGTACTTGGGAATGAAGAGTCACACCAACTTGTGTATTCACTCTATATTCAAAGGTTTATTGTTAAAACAAAAGGTTATATGTGAAACACAAGGGGGATGGTGGAGCATAAACCAATTAAAACCATGCACGTATATAAAACTACAAGACTTCTCATGATAGTAAGGATCATGAGACAACCTTGGGGGGAATTTATTAAGTAAACAACAAGAAGACAAAAACAGAGATAAGAGATACAATTTGCAGAGTCTAACATTTTAGAAACATCTCTAAATTTCTCTGGTTTCAATCTCAACTGGTTTCTGAGGAATATGCTAAAAAACACAATTGTGTTTGCTCAGACATTAACTATGTATAACCCAGAAACAAGGCAATTAAATGAATCACTCCTTCACTTACTACACATGCCCTTTAGGGAGAATATCTCTTTGGTGCCACCCTGGATGTCTTTATTAAAGTGGGGGACAGAGTGCTCTTATGACCCAGCAAGAGAAATCTAAGTCTCATACTGCAAAACATCCTACCTCTGATGCTCGGGAGAGTACCTTTGTTTCTCCCAGACCTCTCAGGCCAGGTTCACACCTGGGCGATCCGTGAATTGCCGCGCGGTCACCCACCACCGACGATAGCGCTGTGGTGCCATTGTTTTGTAATGGCGCTCCAGTCGCACCAGGCAGATTGAGCTGTTTCCCGCCGCAGTTTCGCCTGTGCAACTGAACACAATCGCAGCTAAAACAGCCATGCATCGTGTATCACAAAAAAAAGGTACATGTACCTTTTTTCTGCGATTGCCGCATGGATGTACCCCATTGAAATCAATGAACCTTGCTGTGTGCAATTGTGCACGACCGCGCGGTCCCGGGACACGCGCCCCGGATTGCCTATGTCTGCACCAGCCCTAAGTCTGCCTGCCCTGCAACCTAAGCTATCTAATATTTTTATCTACTTGGACGATGCATCAAAACCACTTAACGGGGAAGAGAAAATCACAGGGAGATAATCTATAACAAGATCTTTACAGTGATATTTAGGACAATGGAAATGTCAATTTTATCCCCCATTCAAATTTGTGTATTTCAGCAATGTGCAAAAGACAGGAATGTTTGTGCAGTTGCCTCAATGGACCAAAATGCATGTAATTTTCAAGACACGCTCCAGTGCCATTAATTGTTAATGGAACCCCAATGTACCTCGCTGAGCTATGTGCATTCACATGGGTGAAATCACACCAAAACACATGGTAACAAAGCACCATGCAATTTGGTGTGCCATGTTTTGAAAAAAAGGGTGCAAGGACTTGTTTGGTACAATTGTCATACAGTATGTAAGGCAGTCCATTGAAATGAAAGAGTTGCCCTGTACACAACACACACAAATGCACATACACGCAGGCACATACTCACAAAAGTGTGAATGGGAGATTATGGTTTATATCTTAATAAATTAATGAAAACCGGAGACATTGATCCAACTCCTTAATGTAAAATATTACAAGATTAAAACATTTTTGTGACACTGAGAAAATTTAACATTGTAACACTGGATAGAATCAAATAGGAAACATACAATCCGAGATCATGCTGGATATCAGAACAATTATAATTTACTATTAAAATAGTGTCATGTTAATTTACATGCATGTATAGTTTGGTTTGTATTAGAAAACGTTTACCACATTATTATATTTTTAAAATAAAATATGTACACCCTTCTTGTTGTTTGCTGGGCTGCCAATTACATTTACACTTTGGAAGTTGCTTGTCATAATGAGGCAGCCACAGAGTTTTAGCTTGAAGCAAGGCCTGGTATATAAAACTGTTACTAATGAATGTGGATTTGTTTATTGTCACAGGTTAATTAAAGCGCTCGGCAGGAGGCTGCCTAAACTAACATCAACCAAAGCGGAAGAGTTAGCAGAAGAGCGAGCCAACTTAGCATCAACATGTTGCATAATAAATGCTCCCCCAGTATACTGCAAAGAGAAGGTAAACAGTATGCAGTTTATTCCTTGTAACATTAGGCTATGAATGAAACGTTACAGGACATATAATAAAGGATAATAATGGACCACATTTGTAGATTTAGGATCACCTAAAGACACTAGCAAAGGTCAAATATTAAACCATAGCCTTGTCCACCTTGTGTGAAGATGATTCAAATAGTTCAGTAAAATTAAAGAAAGGAATGAGAAAATGGGAGAAGAGCAGAACAATATACTTTAAATCACAGTTAACTATGGACAGAAGTTGTAGCTTACTTAATATTACATAAACATTAATATTCATTAATGTTTATGTATAGCCAAAAAGTTCTAACATTCCCATGCTCTCCCCAAAACAGCACATTTTAGCTGGTGTGTTGCTTTAATTAACTCTTATTTAAATAAAATAGTTACTGTGGAGTGAGGATTGTGTTAATTTGTAGTACTTTTTTATACTGTTGTAGCGCTACCCGCGTAGGAGCCGCTGGTTGCCCGGTTCAATTCTAGTCTGTTTAGGGTATGATCTTCAGCTGCCCACCCAATAGCACTAACCGCCCTTCTTCTGTTGCCTCTAAACTGATGTCCACTCCAGTAGTAAAATGCTAAGTATCACGTACCTGTGCGGATACTGGATGTAGGAGGAGGCTTCCCTTGCAGCTCGTGTCCTAGGGACTCTGGTATTGGGGACAGAGTCCTTATAGACAGTGAGTGTCAGGAGGGCCAGAGGCGGTTCCACCGTGCAGGCCACTCCTTGGTTTTGCGGCAGGGTATTGTAAATCTTGATATCCGAGGTCAACAGGCCGAGGTCACACCGAGCAGGCAGAGCAAGTACAAAAGGAGAAGGCGTAGGCAGTCCAGTGAAGCAATCCGAGGTCAAGGGTATAGGCAAACAAGAATGGTCAAACGTTCTGAGGTCAAAGGCAGGCTGCAGGCAAACAAGGTCAAAGTAAATCCGGGTCGATAATCAATGGTACTGGAAACAAGGATCAGGAGACGTCAGGGCGGTTGAAGAGACAATCCAGCAATGAGTAGGTGTGGAGTCTGGGTTTAAATAGTGAAGGAAATGATTTGGATAGCATCACTTACTGTGAGTCTTTTGGAGAGTGTCACTTCCTGTGAGCCTTTTGGATAGCATCACTTCCTGTGAGTCTTTTGGATAGCATCACTTCCTGTGAGTCTTTTTGGATAGCATCACTTCCTGTGAGTCTTTTGGAGAGTGTCACTTTCTGTGAGCCTTTTGGAGAGCGTTCTTCCACGGACAGTCCTTGGCCCATTACGGGAACCCCGGCTTGGCGCAGAAGCAGCAGGTCTCTGACACTAAGTAAACGGTTTATTGAACATTTTCACTGGGGCGAGAGGTTTAGGGGTTCTAGGTGTCCAGGGGTAACCAAAAGCAGCTCCAGACTCACCAGACTTTGTAGATGTATCAGTGTAGATCTACCTAGGAGACAGCGGATAGCCACTGATGTAACAAACAGACAGGATGGATGCAGATCCTCAATCAGGAAATACACTGACTATTCTCCTGAAGTCCACTTAGTTCCAGGGTACTTCAAGAGCCTGCACTGGTCCCGGTTCTCTTCCTATTTCAGCATCTCAGGCCTCCTCCATGTTGGAAGCCTCAGGGAAACCTCTTCCCTCACACCAGCCCATGCCCACCCCCAGGCCTCAACCTAGCCGGCAGTCTGAACAGGACCCAGCCGTATTCCATGGCTGGTCCCAGCTAGTCTGAGAACATGGCAGATCCCACCAATATATGTACTCTATCCCAGCATGCACCACTGGCTGAGAGAAGCCCAGTGATTGGCTGCTGTAGTGTACATACATTACAGTGCCTCCCATTGGCTGTCCCACAATATGACAGAGTCACACTCCGCCCAGGGGTACAGGCAAGGCTAGACCCTGGGATTATCCAGATAATAACACCTGAGATTAACCAGATAGCCCTGACCAAAAAAATGGGCTGAAAATCTCGTCTTATACTCGAGTATATACGGTATGCACTTTTTAGAAATCTAAAGTTTACGGTTAATAATTCTAGCATTATGTAACACTGCTATTTTAAATGCATTTGAACTAGAAAACAGTGTAATGTATTCCTTGCCAATGCACAAAATAAGCACAGAATAAGCTTTTAAAATTAACCTCATTAATATGTTCTGCTTTGTGGGAATTCGTACACATTATTATTAATATTATTATTATTTTGTTACCCAAGTACAGAAAACTTTTATCCCAAAATATTCTATAATGCAGATGTTTCTCTTCAAATAATAAAGCATCAGTATTCTACGCTAGAGTTTTCTCTAGCGTAGGTCAGCTATATCTATTTGGGGATGTTGGCAAACTTTACTGCAGTTCCTTACCTGTTTATGTTCTGCAGATATTAATTTAGGCCTTGACATTTTCTTAAAACAGAGTGAGAGAGTCAGCTTATACATGAACAGTCACAGTGTTTTTATAAGAAAAGCAACACCCCCAATATCCCTTTATGCACACATTTACTAAAAGAATCTCACTAAAGATGAAAATACTATTGTAGGCAAGGTATACAATTTCATTCATGAAGACTTTTTGGTAAACCCAGTTAGCCAGTTTTACGAGTGAAACGAGGGAGATATCTAGTAAGTCCTATACACCACTGGCTTGGTTGCAAGGAATCAAATTTTTAACCACTTCAACACCAGGTGTTTAGACCCCCTTCCTGGCCAATCTTGTCAATCTAGTCAAGATAACTATGTGAATGTGACTTTCAGCAAACATTCCCTGTGTTGAATCAATATTCACATTGAATCAAAGAAAGTCACATTTACTGCTTTATCAATAAGCCTCGTATA